CCACAGTCACAACCTAGATCTTGAAGATCAGGTGCAAAGTCTCAAAGAATCGCTGAATTGCAGTAAACTGACGGTAATATCAGAAGAACCAGAAGTGGAAGATGATGCTAAAAATGAACAGATATCTAACCTTCAGACAGAATTGGAGGAAATTAAATCAGAGTTTCAAAAACTGAGAGTGAAACATAGGCGTAAAGTGAAAATTCTAACAGCAAAATTAAATGAAGCACAACAAAGTTCTCAAATTCAAAAACTTGAAATGCTTGAAGAAGTTAATCAACTCAAACAATCAAACAAAGATATGACAGTGCAATTAAAACAATCTAAAACACCAAATCTCAGAGTTAGTTCAGAAGATGAATCTAAGGGGAATTTGAGTGATAGAAGAAACCTTGTTGTAGAACTTTCGGCACAAGTTTCTGAGCAAAGTCAAATCATTGCAGAATTGAGAGGTGAATTAGCTGAGAAACAAAAAGAAATAGATATGTTGTCTATGTCACAAAGATTTCAGACAGAAACTGTTCATACACATCATGATAAAATTGCTAGTTTAGAAAGAAGTTCTAGTAATCATCATATCAGTCCTCATCCACCGAGAACCAGTATACAATTTTCTACTTTAAAATCAGGGAGAAAGAAAACTTATAAAATAGGACAGAGAAGGTGCATTGATAACTCAAATAATCAATTAGCATTTTATAAAACAGTGCGAGAAGTGAGTTCTGATTCTGATTCAGATTGGACAAATGAAATAGTTGCTAGTAAAATACACAGTGCTCCTTCAGCTGTTCGTACTGAAATGACTTGCTAATTTGCTGCTAATTTGCATAATAGAGACACTAAAGTAAAGCTCTAAAAAAAACTATTTTTACCGTGTGATCTTTTATTTACCCATACAAGAGCTTTCAGTATTTTTTATTAGTAAACCATTCAGCATTCCTTTCAAGCAGTATTTTAAGGATTATACCCCTTTTTTGTTATTATTGTGTCTCATAAATCAATTTTCATCTAATATCCAAAAAAATACATGTGATACCGCATCACTATATTTCATTGCATAATTTCATTATCACTAGGGTTACTACAATCTTAAAGGCATTGACAGGAATTATTTCTACTTTTGTATCAGATTTACTGGACTACAGCATTAATGTTTTCATTATTTATTATTGAAATATTGGTAATACTAAAACATATCGTTTCTTCCCTTCACTTGTTCAATTGTGTCAGTGTCATTTAGTTCTCTTTGTTCTCCAAGGGGCCAGAATTTCGTCCCCTTTTGATTTTGGCCCTTATTTTCAATTTTCCCCTTCCCAACTGCTTTGGAATCTTAAAAATGCACTATTGCATTTTAGACCTTGATTTTATTGTCTCATCGCAAAACCAGATGACAACCCCCTGACCATATCATTGAAAATGGGGAACCCTATCTGCAGCCCCACCGATTGCGTGAAAGCCGTGGGGGGCTGGGCCCCAGCAAGTGAAAATAAGCCCCACCAAAACCTTCAGTTCAGCCGAGATTGATTCAATTACAGTGTCTTTGTAAAAAATCAAAAAATATAGATTTTTATTTTTTGGTACCTCAATATCGTCAGAAATGAGTTCTCTTTACCTTGAAGTCTTCAAATTGTTACTGGCGACAGGGCTGTCTATCTGTAACTGTAACAAGTTGGACCAGACATAAACCCACAGTCTTGTGTGGACTAATATGAAATGAGGGGTGAAGAAGGAAGGTACGGTGGCTCACATACGACATTTTCCACTTTTTATTTTGAATTAAAAACTTTAATTTTCACCTAGGTGAAAATTAATGTTTTTAATTCAAAATTAAAAGTGAAATATATCGTGAGGAAGGGGCTAAACGGTAAACTTTTTGAGGCGATACTGAATAGTTTCAGCAAAATCTGTCAAGAATTGGGCCTTCCAGAGTGTTGGCTAAAACTTGAAAGCGTTTTTAAGAACAAAGGCACTAATATTTTTCGATTTTTCTTAGGGTTCATCTTTGGATGATTAAATACACTCACACCATGTTTTGCCTTCTAGGACAAGAGTGTTTGAACGAATTTTCAAGAACAAGGGCAATAATTCAAACCAATGATTTTTCAATTTTTCTGATTTTCAATAGGGTTCATCCTAAAGTGTCAGTAAACACTCACACGAAGTTTCATGAAAATCTGTCAATAACTTTCCTGAGCGTTTACGAGCTAAAAGTTTTCGCGTTTTCAAGAACAATAATAGCTCATCCTAATTATTTTTCGATTATTCTGATTTTCAATAGGGTTCATCCTTTGGTGATTACAAACACTCATACCAAGTTTCATTTAAATCCGTCAAGATTTGTGCCTTCTACAGTTCTTAAAAGCTTTCATTTGGTCAAATCAAAATATTTTTTTCTTTATTTTTCATGTACACAGTGCTAATTTATAATGATACCGTCTTACTCACTGCATGTTAGCCGGTGGCCATTCCGGATTTTATCAGAAACCTTTAGTTTCGTTTAGCAAGTCGTTTTTGTGAAGTTGGGCACGATGCGGCAAAACGAACCCACCGCATGTCAGCCTGTTCCCATCATTCACATTGGCATAAAACTTTGTGACTTAAGTCACTTTCCTTTTCACATTAGTATTTACATGTGCGACCAGTTAGGCTTAGCAGCTCTTTTTTTCTAGACATATCTCTGTGAATATAGCATGGAGGAGTATAGTAGTTGAATCCGACTGTGAGTGTGATTCCCTAAAACGTCTGTAACAGGTTTTCACTAAAATGCCACGTAGCTGTAGAGGTGTGTTTCCAATCTTCTCCCGCATCCCCCTTATCGACCAACACATTTTCTGAATGGGAACAGACAAGGGTAGGTAAGATGTTGCCTGGTTGTGGGAAACAGCAAGAACCAAGAGTTCAAACTTTTGGTAGCTATTTAGATTTAAATCTCCCACTGTGTTGTCACCTTGACATGGTTGTTATTCAAGGGAGATAATGGGAAGACGCGTTCGATCACAAAAAGTGTCCATTGAATAATAGCGATTATATTTATCAAAAATCAAAAATATCAATTCATAGACGGCATTATTATAAACTAACACGGTGTACACGAAAAATAAAGAAAGAAATTGTGATTTGACTAAATAAAAGCTTTTAAAAATATACGTTTTTTGATGTACAGTGGTGTAACCTATTTTCGTGGATATAAGGATTCAACACCGAATTTCGTCAAAGTTAAAAAAACGAAAAAAAAATTTTATGCCTTAGATGTTTCCTCAGATATTCTACAAAATAATTAAAATTGGTTTATTTCGATTTTCTTTATGAATCCTTCACTTTGACCAATATTTCATGAGCAACCAACTCGGCAACGGCGGCAGAATGCCTCACCTATTTTCGTGTACAATGTTTGATCTATAAATAAGTCTAGAAAAACACGTTGTATGGATACCGGGTGGTATAATTAACTTCTCTTAATATTTATCTTTAATATCAATTCATTTTAACTAGTGACAATTCCTTCAAAGAACCATGATTTTAAAAAAAATAATGACTGACAAAATAAGATACGTAGCGTGATTTATTGCTAAAAGTCACTGAAACAAAATAAGAATATGGTCCACTTTGTGTTCCATAGAAATTTTCTGCTGACACGAAATCCACTAGTTGATCACGTGACTTCAATTGTTGGACTATATTCTAGCAGACGACACTTGGAATTCTGATTACCGCTTGGGATTATAAGGAAATTCGGCCGATAAAAAATGGTGACGTTTGGTAATAAGTGAAATCCGCCATTTTGTATTTGTTGAAGTATACATTATTACACTTTATCTTGCTTGAAACTACTGGATTCATTCTACTAGCTGATATTGTAGAGAAAACCCATGTTCATCAAAACAAACTAATGCGGAGGTCGCGCAAGGTCGCTCATGTAAATTATTAATTATTTTCGGAAATCCACGAATAATAGGTTTCCACGAAATTAGGTTACTCGACTGTATTGAATATTTTGATTCCCGAATATTGCCACCACCTTTTTTTGTCTTTTCTGACCCAATTCGGACCCAGTTCGGGAATTCGGAATTTTACACCCACCGGTTTACAAGCTAAAATTGAACGCGTTTTCAAGAACAAGGGCAATAACTCATACAATTAATGTTTTTATTTTTTTTTATTTTCAATAGGGTTCATCCTTGGGTGATAGCACACACTTACACCAACTTAATTCATCTAAATATAGGCTATATTTGTGCAGTGTCCATAAAAATAAGTGTATCAAGTTTTGGATTAGGATTGTTCAACTGTTTTTCAATTTAAAAAATGTAGTCAATGCGATTGAATGATGCAGCAACTGTCACTTTTCCTGATAATAAGGCAAATGATAAAAGTCAAATGAGAAAAACAATCTCACCAATTTTGAATGGAAATCTAAAATAAAATATGACAAAAACATTATTATCAGGAAAAGTGACAATTTAAATGTTAGCTGAATTTCAGCTACAGTGTATACCATATGGTTTAAACACAGTCGCTAAACAGTCACATATTCACACGATGCAGTAGTATAGCATGAACAGACGTGTGTATAGCCTAATACGCGGAAACTTTTTGTATTTATATTTGAAAATAAAATACAAAATAATAATGATTTGAATAAAACTTTTATTTAATATAAATTATAGTGAGCAAAGACACGTGACAAGAATAGTAATTCTCACCCAAAATTGTGCTAATGCTTATAGGTTCAAACATGCATGTTATTTGTCGATCATTTCACAATACTCGTTCAAACAGGCCTATATTACTTCAAGCTATAATATGACACTTAAAAAGGGGGACATGACAAAAGTATGGCTAAGCAAGTCAAAAAAAGAAATGGATAAAAAAAAAAACAATGAATAAAGATGTATTGTATGTCTATTTTGTACAGACATAATTTCTTACTCATATCTTACATCTTGTAGAAATCAGTCAGAAATTATTCTAGGACATGAATTATTTATCTCAAAACACCGCTATAGATTTAAAAACTTCAGATTCATACTTTTGATCATTTTCTTTGTGAGATTTTCATCGTTTGAATATAAATATAATTTCAAACGAAATAAAGATCTTATATATCCATTCTTTATTTTAGATGATTGAAATAATCCACGTTTGATTAGAATTAATTCCCTATTTTTATTTGATATTGTTTGATGATATATTTCATTGAATTCGATCATGTTTTTAGAGTTAGTAATATATGTATCAGACGCCAGTACTAGTACAATTCGACTGTTATGTATTGTTGTGATATTTTTATCTACGGTTATTTCCCCGCCCATTCCATCACGAAACGATATGTAACATTTTAATCCCAGATTATCAAATAATTGTAAGATATTTTCCTGTATCCAAATTCTATCCTCGTCACGTTCTTCATCACAAGATATATAAACATCATATTTAAACTCATCTAGTACGTGACGTCTGAATTTAAATTTGAGATAATATATGGTTAATAACTCATATCTTAAATATATACAAATAACAATGATGATAATAACAATAACAAGTGATACTATTATTGGTATGATAATAATCTTAGATATGATTATCGGCCTACAATCTAAAATATCAATATTCATGTCTTGTATTACAATATCTCTATTGTTTTCTACAGTACAAGTAATATTAGAACCATCTTTAATAAATTCTTTAGATTTAAGCCATTTAGACATCCAAACATTAGAACAATTGCAGATAAATACATTATTATCAATATCTAACTTAGATAATCTTAATTTCTGTATATTTTCTGGTAAATATTCAATACTATTATTATTCAGATTAAGATAATCCAGAGAATTAAGATTATCTATAGACTGAGGAGAGATAAATGTGATATTGTTATCTGATAAATCAAGGTGTTCAACACTTTTCAGATACTTCCTGTTATCCAATCTATTTATAGAATTGTTATTAAAGTTCAAATGAAGATTTTTTCTACGAGGAAGATGAACAGGAAGTTCATTTAATCCCGAATTTTGACAGTCAATAAAAAATCGTTTAAATGCTGGTTGATCTTGACACAAACATCCTGGTGGGCATCTTTCTGTTACATTACAAACAAATTCTTCAAGTTCCATATCAAAAAATAATTCAACTCTAGGTTCAGAGCAATAAACTTGAAAATAGTTTCTTGATATCAATGTTTTAAAATTTTTCACAATAGACATTATATCATACAATACACAGTCACAAATCCAGGGGTTGTCACGGAAGTCAAATCCCCATAGTAGAAAATATCCCAGTTTCCTTGCAGTCGGAAACCCCAAACTTTTCATTACTTCAATAATCCATATTTGAAGATGATTATGACGAAAGTCAACGAAACCAGGTCCATGAACATCGTTTGTTTGTGTTTGTATCTTTCTTCCCTTCTCGTTTATCAGTTGGTTGATTTGGTTATAGCTTACATTAAACCGACAGAATTTATGTGTTATATTGAAAAATGACCAAACGTCTAATTTGGTTAATTTGTTATTATTTAAATCAACTTTTTTTATACTATTCAAATTCATATGAAAAACACCAGCTTCTATTGTTTTTATTTCATTGTACTGAAGTCTTATCACGCTTAACTTTGTCAATGAGTCAAATATTCCAGTTTTGAGAGTGGTGATTTTATTATATGATAAATCCAGATAAACCAATTCAGATAAACAGGATAAATTTGGAACTTCTGTGATCTTATTTTCCTTGATTACTATAGATTTAATTTTTGGAAATTCACAGATATTTTCTGGTAATTTTGTTAAACAGGAATCTATCTGGTAGATGAGATAACTATCATCGTTAGAATTTATACCTGGTTCTATGATTCTACTCCTATTTGGTTCCTGGCAGTTTACGTCCAAAGATAACTCAATTAATCCGCTAGTGTCATAAATACAGCAGGAGCATGGGTTGGTCGAACAATCATTTCCACAATAAGGATAATCTGCAGCAAGCATCGAAATCAGAATTGAGATTAATAAAATCCTTAATCCATAACAGTACGACATTTTTCTTCATTTAACAATAATTTAACTACTGTATGCATTTTAACACATTTAGACCACACTACAATACTGCTATAAAGACCTAATCAAAGAGCAATGGCTTTTATATGTTTAACACTTCTTTGTTTGCGAATTTAGCGATAAGGCCAAAAGTGAATAAAATAAAATCAAACAGAAAAGATGTATAGAAAGACTATGGTAATTCCCAAAGTCAATCTGACTTACACAACATTTACAAGGCTTATTTCTTCGAGATATTGAATTTTAGGTTAGGTCTATCTTTAGGAGCAAGAGTACCGATAGCTACATTAGATTATTGAAATAATTATTGGCATGGTGAAATATCATATAAATCTATATATATTATCTTTAGATCTTAAAATCCAATATAGTTATCATAACAGAAACGACACAATTCTAAGTCTAACCTAACTGAATGAAGTTTATGTACATTATGAATTGTATATAGAACATCACCCAATCACTCACTAAATGGTATGATTGAGAAAGTGGATGTAGCCTATACATTGGTTCTACATTATATCTTGTCCTATATCTTATTTCAAATGTGATGCAAGTGTCAAAATAGGAATGTTAATTATCAATGTAGGTAGTATGAAAATTTCACAAGTTGACATGCATGACAGGTTTATACTTGGTCCATGAATATACTGAATAATGTATACCTAATTTCAGTTTGTGTAAGGTGTGTGTTTGTAGTGTAGAATACAGAAATAGGACTCATTATACAAATGAAATCTTTCATGCTATCCAACGGTCAAACTTTTCAAACTCACACTTTTTAAAATTAAATCAAGTTCTATATTCTGTCTCTCAATTAGGTTTTACAGAAAATGACAGTATACTCCACAACTGAATTTATCCAGGAGTAAAGGATAGTGACTGAAAATGGCGATCTCCATTGAATCTGTTACACTTACGCACAAACGCCCGTCTCGTTAAGTTATCGATGCGAAATTCTTTGCTCAAAAATCAATAGGCCTAAATATAACATTCTTGGATAAAATTATCAAATAAAACGGGCAAGTTAGCATTCCAGGCAAGGTAACATACGCCCACTAACAGCTGTCAGAAATAATAAACCAGTCTTTAGTTACTAAAGTATGAAATTTTATTAGTTTGAATTCAATGATATATATATTTACTGCCAGTTACTAAATTTTTTAAAATCAATTTAAATAACCCAAATACAACAAAACATCTCATCAATATACATGTTTCATTAAAATTAATTGAAAACTGTAGTATTTAATGTGTTCACAAACAAATTTAGACACGTTTTCCTGAGAAAAGGGCAATAACTCAAAGACCGTTCATCGAAGTATCATCAAATAAGAACATGTCCAAGAAGTCAACAATGTAAATGATCACACCAAATTTCATTAAAATCAGTTGATAACTGTGGTCTCTTATGTGTTCATATACAAATTTTGACGCGTTTTCCTAATTCAAGGGTAATAACTCAAAAACCGTTCATCGAAAGATAGTCAAATTCAAACTTAAAATCAGATCAAAACTGTAATCTTCATTGTATTCGCAAAAAATGTTGACGGACCGATGGACCGACGGATAGGAGAGACGGCAATATTCGTGCACATTTCCATGTGGGCGTATAAAAACTGATAATTTGTTTCGGATGTGAGCAAGTCGTTTGAAATTCGAAGGTCTTCATATGCTTAATTTTAGTTATATACCTGGATGGAATTTGTAAGCTCCATATAATCTCTTCTGTTGTAACAGAAATTTCAATGAACACCCTCAGACAATATCCTCGTGATAGACAGGAAGTTGTACCACTGGTACGATATCGGAACCAATCTCATTTACACGCCCACAAAACGTAGTGTACGGGTAAATAAGACAATGTTAAAACCCGTATTCGTGAAACGATGGCCTGGTTCTAAATTCGATCCGTTGTTATATGAAGGAAATTAGCTCTTGTGGATGTTGTGTATGTCACATTGACTTTTAGACCCGGAACCAAGACATTGTCTATATATAAATTTGATGTATGCTATCTTTCTATTCTGTTTGATTCTATTATTCCTAATTCAAACATTGTCGCTGAGTTCGTTAACAACGGAGCTTTATTAAGCCAACGCTATTTGATAGACCTATTGTAGTAAAATATGTTATGTTAAAATGTTTGGATTAAATGACGTACATAGCAGTTAAATCTATTGTAGTTATAATACTAGCGGATTAATTGGGTTATCTTTAGACATAAACTGCCAGGAACCAAATAGGAGTAGAATCATAGAACCCGGTATAAATTCTAATGATGATAGTTATCTCATCGACCAGACAGATTCCTGTTTAACAAAATTACCAGAAAATATCTGTGAATTTCCGAAAATTAAATCTATAGCAATGAAGGAAAATAAGATCACAGAAGTTCCAAATTTATCCTATTTATCTGAATTGGTTTATCTGGATTTATCATATTATAAAATCACCACTCTCAAAACTGGAATATTTGACTCATTGACAAAGTTAAGCGTGATAAGACTTGAGTACAATGAAATAAAAACAATAGAAGCTGGTGTTTTTCATATGAATTTGAATAGTATAAAAAAAAGTTTATTTAAAAAATAATAATTTAACCATATTAGACGTTTGGTCAATTTTGAATATAACACTTAAATTCTGTCGGTTTGATGTAAGCTATAACCAAATCAGTAAACTTGTAAATGAGAAGGGATGGAAGATACAAGATGGTGATAATCATGGACCTGGTATGGTCTACTTTAGATATAATAAATTTCAAATATGGTTTACTGAAGTGCTGAAAAGTCTGGGATATCCGACTGCAAACGGACTGGGATATTTTCTAAACTGGGGATTTAACTTTCATCACAACCCTGGATTTGCGACTGTTAAATGTATGATTTAATGGTCATTGTGAAAGTTTTTATAAAATTGACGCCTTTAAAAAGATATAAAATTAATTGTTCTGAACCGAAAGTTAAACTATTGAAGGACATGGAACTTGAAGAATTTGTTTGTAATGTAACAGAAAGATGCCCACCAGGATGTTTGTGTCAAGATCAACCAGCATTTTCCCGATTTTTTATCGACTGTCAAAATTCAGGATTAAATGAACTTCCTGTTCAAGTTCCTCGTAGAAAAAATCTTTATTTGAACTTTAATAACAATTCTATAAATAGATTGGATAACAGGAAGTATCTGAACAGTGTTGTACACCTTGATTTATCAGATAACAATATCACATTTATCTCTCCTCAGTCTATAGATAATCTTAATTCTCTGGATTATCTTAATCTGAATAATAATAGTATTGAATATTTACCAGAAAATATACAGAAATTAAGATTATCTAAGTTAGATATTGATAATAATATATTTATTTGCAATTGTTCTAATGTTTGGATGTCTAAATGGCTTAAATCTAAAGAATTTATTAAAGATGGTTTTAATATTACTTGTACTGTAGAAAACAATAGAGATATTGTAATACAAGATATGAATATTGATATTTTAGATTGTAGGCCGATAATCATATCTAAGATTATTATTATACCAATAATAGTATCACTTGTTATTGTTATTATCATCATTGTTATTTGTATATATTTAAGATATGAGTTATTAACCATATATTATCTCAAATTTAAATTCAGACGTAACGTACTAGATGAGTTTAAATATGATGTTTATATATCTTGTGATGAAGAACGTGACGAGGATAGAATTTGGATACAGGAAAATATCTTACAATTATTTGATAATCTGGGATTAAAATGTTACATATCGTTTCGTGATGGAATGGGCGGGGAAATAACCGTAGATAAAAATATCACAACAATACATAACAGTCGAATTGTACTAGTACTGGCGTCTGATACATATATTACTAACTCTAAAAACATGATCGAATTCAATGAAATATATCATCAAACAATATCAAATAAAAATAGGGAATTAATTCTAATCAAACGTGGAGAATTTCAATCATCTTTAATAAAGAATGGATATATAAGATCTTTATTTCGTTTGAAATTATATTTATATTCAAAAGATGAAAATCTTAAAAATGAAATGATCAAAAGAATGAATCTAAATTCCAAGCATGTGTATATAAATCTAAGCAGATAGCTTTCGTTACCCACACAAGCAACTATTGAAACAAAGTCGTTTTGAGTGGCTAGAATTTCACCACCTAATACGAAGCTATTTGGACAGTGAACCACGGTTCCATATGTTATTATGATTATATAGATTTATGCATAATAATAATAATGTAGACTTTCATCATAAAGATATATTATATGGACCTAAATATGTATTATACACAACCCATATTAATTTCCAGGATGAATAATTGTGTTTCTGGCAATTTAAATATGGAAAACACCTAGATTGCACATCCTAGTTGATATGATTGCAATCATTTTAAAAAATATTAATACGAATATAATGTACTCTTTGTATGCTTTTGTCCTATATTGCATAGCCTATTAAGCTATTAATTTACGTTATTGTTCGTTTGTAATCCAATGCACTCTTTGTGTTTATGTTTTTGAGCGCAACTAATTGTACATATTACTATACCTTTGTTTGAATATAAATTACATAATAAAGAATTATACATAAACAAGACTGTTGACGACTTTTTCCCAGTGGATTATAATTGGCCTACAAGCTAATTTGAATTTATTATTCATAGAATATATGAAACCCCCAAAATAATCGTGAATGATTTCATAACGGTGTTAAATCAAAGGGATAGATTCGCCATATTGGGTCTTGAATGTAGGCCCTACATAAAGTCTTCAAAAGTGTTAGAAATGTACGAAAATCGCACACATCCACCAAAAAGTAGGCCTACCTCAAGCTATGAATTTCATTTTATATTTCTTAATATGTCTTTTCTCTATATAATGTCCTTGATGGCGTCAAAAATTAACAAAATGTGGAATTCCATGGTTCTAGTGGACGTATCGCGTTTCACTTAAAAACAAGTTCGATTTATCTATTTCAAAGGCTTTCTTTCTCTATCGTGTGACCAGGATAATCTCTCTTTCCCTTATTTCATTTGGGCTCTTTATTATTGACTTTGTTTCTTTCATTTTTCGCTTTTATTCTCTCATCCTCTCACCATTTCCCCACCCCTTGATATTTGGGGTGGGAATTAAAAAACAGTAATTTAATAACCAAAATATATATATATATTTCAACCATATTTACATCATTCATAATGAATGTCCAACACCAAAAATGTAACAATAATAAATACAATTTGAAACTTTAGAGACATTTCTTACTAGAACACAAAACTAGCAAGCAAGCTGTACAATAACGTTTCATTTGACAATTCACTGAATGTGAGCTAAAGAGGTACAATGTCTGATTTTGGTAACCTATAGCTGGAAAATCAACCATTTAATTAGACACTTTGAATATGCCTTCAGAAAATATGAAATTCTTTTGACAATCATGGTGAACACAATACAAGTATAAGAGCTAGCATAAAGAATTAATATTTCCATTGTTCAATAAAATGAACTAATACAATTCAGAAAAGTAAATTCAATATTTATAATATATATATATAAGAAATCTTAAAATATCAAAATTCATATATGGCAACTACATTTTCAAAACCTTTTAAATAATAAATTTTATATAAATTTTGATAACTACATAAATATAGAATTTAAAAAAAAACATAAAAGATAACAAGAGAACAACAAAACAAAATTTTTGGAAATCTATTTCATTTTATATTGGAAAACAATGCAATACCTGTCAGTATTAGTAGAGACCATAGACTTTTCCAATAATATTTACAGAGAAATCTTTTAACAAATATCTATAAATTGTCAGAGAAATGCTGTTCTTGATAATATTTGTAAACTGGATATAAATAAATATTTAACACAATATATCTTTGTTATTAGAAATATGTAATATAGGTGACTGACAATTATAATAACATTATCCATATGTAGAATAAAATTGTTTCCACAGCAACCAATTCAAGTTTTAAAACTAGGTTTGGATTTATTGAACATTCAAATAGCCCATAATTGGTTAAGATCTAATTTTTTTGTACTGCATTTGAAAATGCTAGAAGTTAAGTGAATTTTTCATGCAAATAAGACAGGTTTGGTTGAAAGCATTTTGTAAAATAAGCAACAATATTTTAAAAAATTAACAACAAAGGAAAATGTGACAAAAAATCACCTATAAATGACCAAAAATAATTGGAACTACATTAGAGATTGCATAATTTAGTTAGGAAAAAGGGACTTAATTCTGATTGCAAAAGAGTGGATCTTTGATAGCACTTGATATATAATTTAAATAAACATATTACATTTAGAATTCAATTCATATTTCAATATTGAACTTTGTAAATTAGTCATACATTATGCAATTGACAAAAACTTGCTGCCAAAATTTTTTTTTTCTTCAGGATATTTCTAACAAAAATGGAGATATTAAGAGCGGTATACTTTGGCTATTTAATATGAGAAAGCATGCTGTGAGACTGCTTCCACTAACTGATTAGTGCCTTTTAAACCTTGTCCTTCTAAATACATTTGACAACCGTCAGGTAAAGTTGTGTGTAACATTGACAATCTAAAACAATCTTCAACAAAGTAATGACGCATATCAGATTTGATTACATCTTCAATAAAACGTCTCAATGGTAAAATATGGCTGATTGGAGCATCCCACATGGTTAAGAAATCTTCTACAGTATGATGCATTAAATTTGGACGAGGTAAAATTTCATGACGTTTTTTAGTCTTCATTTCAAATGCTGAAAAAAGATATAATATTGCAATCATAACATGCAAAAATTTACAGATTATCATTACCTTAAAATATATCCACATCATCTTGATGAATACTTTGTGCTTAGTCAAATCTTAAAAAAAATGTTTAATCTTACCTGTTGGTAATTGTTTGTAATAATATAATACTGGATGTAAAAAGTTAGATTGATGAGCTTCTGAAGGATCACCAGTAGCCCTGTCAGATCGGAAGATATCATTACCAGGTCCCGAGAAATTAGCACCATATTGTAAGACCACAGCTATAACTTCGTTAGCCTCACTACCAGTTATATTAGTAAAATCATGCAGAAGATGGATGGGAAATTCTTCATAATATTCAAATGTCTTTTTATTGCTAAAAAAAAATATTAAAGAAAAATTATTTAATCATGAAATTGTACTTGTTCCTATACATTGACAACATCCTGAAAATCAATATTCAAAGGGCTGATGCTGATCTGGGACAGTTTCAACTAAATATGCCTTTCAAGAGCCACATGGCTTATACAAATAGTGTTATATGGTCTGTTTATTCTTAAGCAAAAGAGCATTGAACTGAATGTTATTCCAACTAATATATGGATGGTAGACCTGTCCAGTAATGAATAAATACCTAGCAACCAATAATAGGCTAATAAACAGATAATAGGCTAATAAACAATTAACTTACTCTCTAAACACTATAATATCACCTAAAACACTGAACATTTGATATGGCCCAGATGCTTCATTTAATCTTTTCAATACAACACTCAATAACTCTCGACTATCATATGTTTTATGAGGCCAGACGACATCTTCATATCTTTGTTCTAATATATGATGTAAGGCCCGAGCTGAAATTAAAGAAATCCATGTTGTTTCATGCTCTCACAACTTTTAAGCATAGGTGTGTATCACATATACATGTGCATATAACTACATGTCAGATGGAAATCACGGTTATTACTAAATTGTAGACTCAAAGCATCAAATTTCCTTGTGAAGAGTGTCCATTTTTGTCAGCAGTATGTTTTATCTCTGATTCAATGAACAGCTAGAGCTCTGGTTCCAAACCTTTGCAGGAAGAAATTCCAGGGAAAAAAAACTGAGTGAACAGAAGTAAAAACAAATATGCGACAGACGTCAAATCACTGATTAACCTAATTCTACATTTCAAAAGCTTTCATAACTGGTGTTCTCCGATACTCCCTTTGGTTAGGAACCAGGATATTAGACAAGATACCTTCTCTAAGTTACTTAGAATACTTCAATACTAAGTTTTATGTATCAAATTTCAACTACCTGTATATCTGAAGCCATGAATGAAACCACCAGCAGATTTTCTATGATCTAAAGAATGACTGGCTGTACCAGCAATAAATAAACCTTTAGTTGATGTCGACTCATAATTATGATCAATGGAGGGATATTTACTAATTCTTAAACCAGCAGCTTTTCTTAACATTTTGGTACTGAAAAACAAAGTCATTATTTTTAAACTTTTTTAGGAATCACATAGCCCAGCTTAATCTGAAGATGAGCCCATCTCAAATCTGAAGGTCACTCTTAAATTCTGAAGCAACAACTGAACAGTTTAATACAAAGTTTCGTGGCTGTATTTAACCTTATTTTGCATACAGCTATTGTACAATCTTTGTGGAGATTGTAAGAAAAAAAGATTGTTTGTAAGGATTACAACTTAGGTTCTATTGCACAAGCCGACTGAGTTCAGATCCCATGACAACATTAATTGCGTAATAAAGCAAATGACAAATTTGAACACTCTAACAGTGCTACAAAATAAACTAACCCACAATATCCAAATCACTCTATGTCTTAAATTTTCAATGCTCATTGTCTAAAACATCTGCATAGAGGATTATATAAGCTGTTATTCTTTGAAAGAAATATTTCATGAGATTTTCAAAAATAGTATAGATTACAATATTTAATACATCCAAATCTTGAATCAATTTCTAATCATCCTAAAAGATATGTAAATAACAATACTATTCATTCAATTTAAGCCTTAGATAATATCAATAATACCATAATATTATTTTAGATAAAACATTATCATCCACTACTTAATTTCATTATCAAATCGAAAATAAATCTTACTAGTCAAAATATAAAGTCCTTTTTTCAAGCAAAGAATACTTCAGTTAAAAGTTACACTTAGAATGACCAAAAAATTGAATTTTTAAACTTGGCCAAAATGTTCAGTGGACTTACTTGTTGTCAAAACTATTCAACAGAATCCCTCTATAATCTAATAAATCCATAAAACTAAGTAATAATTCATTAAACTAATTTTAATGAATGCTAGAGAATCCTGTTTCAATAATTACTTTATATAATGGTTATGTCCATTGTAAAAGGTAGAATCCCTATAATAAAAGCATAGAAAGATGTCAAATAAAGTAGCCAAATATCATACCTATTGCCAAATATAGATGTATCAAATGTAAAACCCAAACATCTGATAATTTTATCATAGGGTTCTCTTATAGCAAAATTATCTAGGTACATATCAACTTCATTCAGGTTATCATCTTCCGCATCTTCACTGGATAAATCAAGATGAAGTTTTTCACCACGTTTCACTATTTTCACCTCGTTAATAGCAGCCTCTAATACACCATCTAGAGATTTCAGCTGATAAGTGTCTAACAAACCATTATTGATTGCTCTGCAATATTGTAAGAAAACAATTACGTGTCACATGATAAGCTTGTTAGAGGACATTTTTTAACCCTATCTGAAGAGGGGGATGTAAAAGATCTAGTCAATAGAGAATGATTAAATACTTGTTTTCAACTCGAGTGTGCAAGATTAACAATTATTAATTTGATTACAATGACATGCTATAAGAGCTTTCAGACCACGTTCTGATTTTAATTCAACTGACTGCTATGGTCATTTGGGAATTGAGATTTGTTAATTTGATGCCTACTTTCAAATGTCTTGTTAGTCTATAGTTAAAGAATAACTGATGGTTATAAAATGAAAAAAATTTAGTTAATCAGATATCTCAGACCTATCTTAATAAGATATCAGATAAAAACAGTCTGGAAAAATCTAGATATAATTCAACATAATTACAGTAAGCTATATCAGTTTCTTATTTAATTATAAGCTAACCTTCAGTCAAATTCTTATTCTGAACCGTGCAAGAACTATAGATAATACAGTTTTTTTTTCTGGTTAAAGTTTTCTTAATTTGAGCTCTTCCTGTTGTTTATAGCTCACTGTTAGAGCTGTCATAAAGAGTTTTTTTAGAATGAGAATTTTCTTTCACAATAGGTAGATAAAAAATAACATACTCGTGCAGTTTGAACACTGCAGTTCTAAATCTAAAATGTGGCTTTTTTACATTCAGTAGAAAATTTATTGTTGATATCTAAACTAATATTTTCTGAAATTACAGACAAATATTCATACTGAAAAGTTATACAGAAAACTGACTAGCTTTTATAGCTGTGGAAGCAAATATTCAGCTGACTGTATCCCTTCGATTAGATTGCTTTAGATATTGATTACTATATTTAAGTTCTCATTAAGAGACAAATAGAAAACACGAAGATATTTTCATCAATAATCAAGTAATTGGCCAAGATTAAAATATTACAGAGAAATGGCATGAGAAAAAGATTTAAAAACTATAATCTTAGTAAATTCCCATATTTCTCTGCTGAGGACTACATGAAATCAATATCTAATTCTCAAATTACACTTTATTTATTCTCAAAAGAATTCCTTCAGATAAATGTGTTTTTAAAGATAAGACTTGCGTAACTCATGATCAGCCACATTCTAGCCTGACTAGCAGGCCAAGAAACTGTCACACTCTAGACAATACAGTGAAATGTATCATTTTCAAAACCAAATAGAGAAATTCATTTGCAAAATGAAAATGAAAATCAAAATGCCATTTCTTATTTGAATAATTTTTCCTTTAACTAACCTTAAATCACCAACATAGTGAGTAGCCCAAGATAATCGTACTCTTGATCTAGCCACCATATGAATCAAGTTTGTTGAACCATAAATCCAATCTGCAGTTTCAAAAGCTGAATTACCTCGGCCTATAAAATGTAGAAGTCAGTATAAAAAGAGGCCTCCATGACAAATTTTACAAAATAGAATTCTAGGATATCTGAGGGTCTGGTTAGACTTATGAAAGCTAGTAACTGAGACAACTTTTATACAATGACAACCAGATCAAAATATTGCTTTTTCTGACTGTACAGGGCTCCACTGACCGATTGCACAGGGCTCCACTGACAGATTGCACAGGGCTCCACTGACAGATTGCACAGGGCTCCACTGACAGATTGCACAGGGCTCCACTGACAGATTGCACAGGGCTCCACGGACAGATTGCACAGGGCTTCACGGACAGATTGCACAGGGCTTCACGGACAGATTGCACAGGGCTTCACGGACAGATTGCACAGGGCTTCACGGACAGATTGCACAGCGCTCCACTGACTGATTGCACAGCGCTCCACTGACTGATTGCACAGCGCTCCACTGACTGATTGCACAGCGCTCCACTGACTGATGGCACAGCGCTCCACTGACTGATGGCACAGCGCCCCACTGACTGATTGCACAGCACTCCACTGACTGATTGCACAGCACTCCACTGACTGATTGCACAGCACTCCACTGACTGATTGCACAGCGCTCCACTGACTGATTGCACAGCACTCCTTTGACTGATTGCACAGCACTCCACTGACCGACTGCACAGCACTGAACTGTACAGCACTGAACTGCAAAGGTAAACATTCAGTTAATGAGATATACTTACCTAAGATAAGAACAGTTTTGCCTTCATAATCATCAGTATTGAGAGACATGTTTTCATAACCATCAGTGTGTTCTATACCATCAACATCAGGAATATTTGGTACCCACATACCAGTGGCAGTAATTAATGTTCTTTAACATATAACAAAAATAAGGTAACTTATAACCGAAACATAGATTTTATCAAGAAAAAAACTAAAGTATTATGAAAAATGCTATGCTATAAATTGTTTATCGAAAAAGTAATTCAAGATGTCATCAATATAATTATCAAACCATGTTTAATCAAAACCAGATTTAAAATCTTGCCATCGTTCACAGGCAAATTTGGACAATTTTCACATAATAAAAATGACAAAATATAAAAAATTAAAAAAGAATTATCTTAATCATTGACCAATATCTTTTACCATTGATTGGAAACAACAACAATGATTTTACAATATTTACAAATTTGGTATATCTGTACATTAAAATGGAGATATAATTTTTAACAATATTATTTTTATTAAAGTCTGTAACAGTTAAGCTAACACATAATGCCACTTTAATATATAGTTAACCTGTTGTGTGGATATTTTCTTTGTAAGAAAATTTTTTAAATTTTCAATGAAAGAAATTATTGATCAGTTACACATGGCATATTGAAAAATAACATTTAATGTCATTTCAATAATTCATATTTGTATCAGGCAATTCCTGATGCAATGTCTTTTCACATTGCCATTTATATGAAATGCAGAAAATATAACTCTCTCTAAGAATTTAAAAGTTTACATTGATTTTCCATTATAAAAGATGAAAATAACTTTTATCTGAATAGAGGCTGATATATAATTTACTTCCTACATAGAAGTTAACCTGTATTAACCTGTATTAAGAACCTGTATTAAGAACCTTTATTTTTTTTATGATTTTTTAAATGTCTAATTTCTTCAGCTGTCCTTTATTTATTTGAATAGCAAAATAGAGTAGATTATACTTGATAGCAACATAATAACAATATTTATTAACTAAATATTACCAACTTACCTACAAATATAACTGTTACCATGTTGATCATTCATATGAAATAAATGCCCATCAGGTGCGGAAACATTCTCTACTGTATGTATATTACTGATTTCAGTATTAAATTGTACATCTATGCCCAATTTAGTTTGATAATCATTTAAATATTTGAGCAAATTATCAGCAGGTGGAAACATTTCTTTAGAATAGTATTTCATTAACAAAGATTCATCATGACTTAATAAAGAGTTCCAATCGTGTCTCATGTTAAATTCTTTATTTGATTGACCAGTATGACGTTTATTAATGCTGATAAGTTTACGATGACGTGGATATTTTTCATAGAAGCTTCCTGAAATGAAAAAATGCACTACTTAACTAAATATCTTCATCAAATATAAGAATTAATAAGCTTTATGTCTTTAATAATGATTTTTGAAATAAAAAGATGGCTCAGAACAAAATGAATTCTCCATTGTCACTTTTTTTTTATAGATCTTTGATAAAAAAGAATTGTATCTGACAGGTTGTAGTTTTGAGTTAACCATCATTAAACTCAGGTCATTGATCACTAGAAAATTTGTAACAGAAAACCTGTTACAATAAATCATCATCTTTATATTGGCTGATAGGTTAACCAAAGTTAGAAATTAATTTACCATGATATTGAATAGTTCACATCAATTTTACACTTGTCTGAACATGTAGTCAATAACTGACCCAAGTAAAATTTACTTTTCTATTTCAAGCAGAATAATCTTTTAAAACTATAAAACATTATCTGTAGTTTTTGTTTTATTTAATTTCATAGAAAACTTTATAACATAAAACACTTTTGACGAAAGTGAACTACATGTAATTGATTGCGACACTGAATTCCATGATGAGGTCACAAACGAGGATGTGGAATATTCAATCTAAAATACCACATCAGATTAAAGAAAAGAAAATATAATGTCACATATCATTGTTTAATGTTAACAATACCATGCAGGTCATAAGGAAATGATATCTATGATCTCAACAACATCTCTGCAGTCTTAATTGCTTATATTCAAAATCTGAAAGAACCTTCTTTTACATTTATATTAAATGAATTTGTTTCGCTGAGGCTCTAATTTAACTAACAATCCTACCAACAAGCCAAGAATCAGATTAAATTTGGCAAGTTTGATCTTATCCAATGTAATTTAATGAAGCAGATATTATATATTTTAACAGAGCATAGCAGAGTATAGTTTTGGACAGTTAGGTAAAAATCAAAATATATCACAATAACATAAATTACCACAAAAATAGTAAACTTGTAAGGCTTGTTAGTAGGACTATCAATAAATCAAGGGATATGTGTCAGAAAAACTGGACTTAGTCCTGTCTCTCAATAGTCAATATAATATTGAACTGATCTGAAGTGGACTTTATTAATATTAAATAAAGGGAGAATTCTTTGTTTTATGCACCTCATTTGGTAAATAACCTTTTCACAAAGTCACAAAGCTTTGGAACTGTAACATTAATATTTTAAAAAACAATTTACATTACTTGGTTTATACTTCCACTTTCAACTTACCAGAAGTATTGGATCTTTCAAAGATGATATAGTCTCTTTTAGCTTGTTCCATATAATAACCTAGTTGTAAACCTCCAGGACCAGCACCAATAATACAGTAATCATGACTACCAATAGTTTTACTATTACAAACAACAATACATAATACAAATAACAGCAGTAATGGGAAGACTTCAAGTCTGGCACTTGGGGTGGTTACAGGCATATTTTTTCTGATTGGTCGTAGTGTTTACCTGGAACGAAAATAGTAAATAATTAGTTTTGTTAAATTACATTTGGATTCTAAAACAGAACCAAAATTTTAAAGGACTATGGAAGTTTTGGGTCTTTTGCTTAATAGTTTCATCAAGTTATTGTATATTTAAGTTTCTAGCCTCAGAACCTTTTGACTTTTTATGTCTAATTACATAGTTGTCTTAGCCTAAATAGTTCTAGCCTTAAATCAAGACAGCTGTAAAGACAAGTTACACAAAAAGTTGGAATAGATGCCCAGAGCTTTAGAAGCAGCTGTAAAAAAAGATGGTGGTAATAAGCAAAAACAATCACTACATTTTCTGACTCTTAAACAAACCCATATTATTTGTACATGACTTCTATCATTGTAACAGGGCTCAAGAATAAGATAAAACAGTAAAAAATATCAGGAGATTTCTGATTCAGAGACACTTGATATTTTATCTTTAAGCAATAATAAGCACTTCAAAAGAATGACATTTTTGAGCCAAGTCTTCAAACAAAAAATCAATACAGAATAGAATACAACTTTGATTTTTTAAATTGTTTCTTCCAACATTAATTGCTGTATTTTATGTTTTCTCATGAATAATTGGAAAAAAGATATTTATAAGGTTATAAGGACAAAAAAAGTTCAAAATTTATATCACATGACAGAATTAATTTTCATCTTCTATGCAGCCTATCTTAAAGGTATACTACCGGTTAGGATGACCAAACAATTTTTGAACTTGGCCAAAATGAGTCTTTCCTCATCAGTGGACTTATCTGGTGTCAAAACTACAGAATCCCTCAATATCCAATAAATTGATAAAACTAAGTTATAATTCATTAAAATAAGTAATTTTGAAACATGTTTAGAAGCGTGTTTCAATAATTATTTAGTTTAATAGATATATCGTTTTATCTACAGATTTTATTCTGTAGTCATTGCACCTGGTTAGTCCAACTGATGAATATATACACTTATATATATTGACAAAGTTTTTCCTCCCCCATTCTAAGAGGTGGTATACTTTAACATAAGAAGTTCCTAAAAACTATCTATAGCAGTAAAATAGTTCCTGAGTATGATTTTTTAAAGTTTCCTGACAAAATCAAATTACTGTACAAGAAAAAGCATATTCTGTTTAAGGATGTGTTACATTCACTATAAAATTATGGAAATTATATAATAACCAAGCTGAAGCATTAATGTTGTCATGAAATAAGTCATTCTCAATCAAGACTTAAAACATCACTACATCGTTCATTTGTTAAAATGTGTTGCATTTCAATGTTGCAATCATGTTGAAAGGCATCAATCTTTAATTGGATAAGCTGTTTGCCAAAGAATAGATTCTACACACTTGCCTTCTGCTGGTATTAGATTATTTTTTTTAATCCACTCCATTTTGTTTGAACTCTCAATCTGTACAGTAAATGAAGTTAAAATGTTAAGTGTCCACCCCCTTAAATAAGATGAGTGTTTTTATTTGTAAAATGTGAAGATGTTGAGTTGATTAAGTTTGGTGTGAAAGTGGTCTGTCTACCTCATCCTGGTAAACACTGATTAATTTAAACATGAAATACTCAAATCAATCTTCCTTCCTACACAGATTTTAACTTGAAAAACGTTTTTTATCAAATACGATTCGGTTGCATCAGATTCAATAACAAATTTCATGACAAAATGTATCATCAATAGTTATGTGAAATTTCTGCTATTGAAATTGAAATCAATTTACCAAAGTGGCATTTGGGGATCTAAGACTTCTGATGCAAGTGTTCAATACATTAATTGAAGAGCCATATAGAACTTATTGAACCTGATCTATGTCGCTATTCAGAGTTTCACACTGTGCAATCGTCTATATCAAGAGCTCAAGAGTTAATTAATTTAACTACAGTAATTGATGATTCGGTTTCCACTTGTCAATGTCAAATGGTAATGGTTGTAATGGAAGTTTTATAGAACCACTTGGCAATATTTACATTTATCTTCCACAAACTTAAAACACATTCTTGTGCTTAATAAATCTACACTTCCTAGATGAAAGTTTCATCCTTCAATAAAGCAAGAGGGTAAACCTCTTGTTTAAGTACAACAATGTTCAACAAAACAATTTCTTACATCATATTAACACATTTTCAATTCTGCTATGATTTAAAATGCAAAGCCAACCTTTTCGCAAACTATACATTTCTAACTTATATAAGTCCTGATAAAGCTTATGAAAACCCCAATGGAGTATGCTATGAGGATTTTCAGTACAGAAATATTTTACACCTTTTTTCATTTTGAACTATCAAGTCAACAAGTAGTACTGTGATGCCTATAACAAGAACACAGTGAAATGTTCTTTACATCAAACCCTCAGTAGTTATATCTGTAATAACTATAACATCTCGAAGTAAATTGCCCCCAAAAAAAACTAACTTACTGAGTAGAGATACGGATAGATATTAACCTCAGTTGAGAGCTTAGTCCAATATAATGACAATACTACAATCAGAGTGAGTGTGTGGTTTCCTACTCAATATATAAAGCAAGAACTTACACAATGTATTGATTATCTGTGGGTGAGATCCAAGTAAATCCTTCAGGTGACTAATTACAAACTTCTCGTTATTGTCATTACTGCCATTCTAACATGATATTATCAATATCAACTAGTCACAAATAAATAACACATTTCCTAATTATAACATTTCATCTTTAACACTTCCTGTCTTTTATAACTCTTAAAACTTCAAGTGTGATAGTGTTATGAACACAGCTTGTTAATTTATCAAATATTAATAGAAAACAATTTATATAATAAACATTTGACACTTAAATAGTGTGAATGAGAGATGATTGACTATAGAAATCTAGAACTGTATTTATATAAATCGTATATTGGCACTCAGTCCATTGTCTGCAATATCAGAAAATCAATTCAGGTTCAGGAAATCACTTCTTATTGAACGCAGAATGATGTTATTCTATAAAAGTTATAAATATAGGCTGGATAGAAAAAAAAGTAGGCATCCTTCCTTATTCCTGTACCTGAATGGGCTAATGTTTACGATAAATGCCATACTGTGTGCAATAAGGGAAATTTTGCCCAGTGAATGGAAATAGCTAATTCTTTGTAGATTGGAACAGTAACAGATTGTAACATTGGAGGCCTTGATTTATTGTTCCATCTGATCTAAACTTAATTCATACCCCCTTCAAATAACCCTTCTGAAAGGTGTTATCTTGACATATGCCTGATTTTTTAAACCAGGTTATGAATCGAACCAGTTATTAAAGACAATTATAGTATGTTCAGAAGTTACCAGGTCCAGTTATTTGACAATCAACTTTGTTTTCAGTTACAGCAGTTATATTTCAAAAGAGATTTGAATTGCATGAATATCAATTGATTGTCTAACAAGGTGAACTCTAAAATTAGTCAAGATAGATTGAAATAATGGAAGATAAACCCTTTTTAAGACCTATCTATCTTTTAAAATAAACTTTCATAATGAATCCAATATGAAAACGAAGAATTCTGACTTTTGCAATCATACTGTGTACTCTATTTCTGGTCTTCATTAATAGAATACACTACCATACTCAACTAATTTCAACAAGAGATGAAGGTAATTTGATCAAATTAATTTCATCAAGAACACAGGATCTCTTCAAATCCTTCATAGTAATTGTTGATTTATCACATAATGAGATAGTCAGAGACACCCCCATGGACTTCAGTTCCTGTATACAGTGCATCTAGTACAAACATCTTTCATAATATAAAATATAAAACTCCAACAGACAAAAAATAATTCTCTAAGTCAAGTAATATCTTAAAGAGGCATGTTCGCCATCCATTTGACGAATCGTACCTTTCTTAGAAACCGAAAATTTTTAGTTAAGCTTATCTGTAATACTGTTCAAATCTCAATGAAAGGTGTGTCCAGAATTAAAACAACAAGTCTTTTCAGGAGACATATAGAAAGACATAAACAGAGAAATAGAAAGTCAATTCCTAGTTTGTGGTATTTTTGATTTTTGTACATTTCTAGTACTTCTGAAAAGCTGTCCCTTTAAAATGGTTTGTCCCAACTTGCATGCAATCCTCGCATTAATAAATATTTGTCTAAATGTGTTCAAGGTCAGCAATGATTCTTAATGTTCTTCATGAATATTTGTATAAAAAATTCACATTACAGTGGTAATTAAATATGTCCTTAATCAAACTGGCTTTCACAACAAATCTCTTATTTTAATAATGGAAAATCAATCAAATGTGTCCTCAGAGAATGTTGCAATCGAAAACCAACCCACAGACATTGTTCAGTCATAGAGAAACCATATCAGATTAAAACAAATACTGAATCCTTCCACCTTTCTGTAAACTGAGATAAGATAAGAGACCATAGTAGTTGACTTAATTCAGAAACTAAGAATACAAAATGTAAGACATTCTTTTTCAATTTGTAAAACTTTTTTGCAACCGTTAGTTCCCATATGTTGAGAAAATATTTTGATATCACCCTTTAGTTCTTTTAATTTGGAACTAATGTAGGAGAAATTATTAATTGGATATTTTTCATTTCTGTCTCCACTTTTCCTTTAATTATAGATGCTGCAGACGTCCCAATTTTTTGTTGAAATGCATACATCTACTTTTCTGCCTTATTGATGAGCAACATGTATCCGATATCAGCCCCTGCATCATGGATAAAAGGGGAAACTGATTGAAACCTGGACATGCAGGTTAGAAAATAAGCATCTAACTCAGAGAGCTAACCCCTCATCCCTCTGGAGCTCAAACTAAGTTCTATTACCTTTTCCACATATTTCTCCTAATCTATTTACTTTTTTAAATTAAAATGAGGCCATAATTGTTGAGACAAATATTGAAACATACATGTAGCAAAGTAATAGTGTAACTATTCATATATGACCTTATTTAAATTGGGTTTATAATATAATCTTAGGTCATTCTGATCCAAGTTGGTATACATACTACCACTGCCCTAAGCTACACTTACCGAATAAATTTGAACAATTGAAGGAAGTGTTCAAAAAGTCAACATAAACTTCTCAATATGAGTACAACAGGTGAATTTTGCATTATGAATTAATTACAATTTAGAATACATTATAAAAACAATTTAACCATTCAATTAAACAGTAAGTTTATGTGAAATGGAAAATTATACCTTAGGACCATCCAATTATGTGAAATAAATCAAGTGTAAATACCATGTGTTGACTATTTAGTTGTTAGATCCTGTTTACTATGTTTTTTAGGTTAAAAGAGAAAATGAATCAACCAGGATATATAAAATAATTTATGTCAATCATTTGGTAGTTATAAAACCTTAACGTTTATGGTAGTTAATAGCTCTAACCATGAAAACTGTTTAACTGTTCACTTTGATGACAATGTCTATGTTTGACAAATACATGTAAATCATTGCAAGATTTGGAAAATATTTTGAAAAACTTAAGATTTATAAATCTTACTATGTAATGGAACTTTCTCGAGGAAAAAGATTATCAATATTGTTTTATAAGATAAATAAAACAATAAGCATATGAAATATTGTGTTTTTATAATGAAAGAAGTTATTTTTATAGTTTATGTAAGTAGAGGGCCATACACTCTTAATCATATATCAATAAACACTAACACACTTAAGTTTCATAAAAATCTTATCTGTAGTCTTTATTGCCAAGACAATTTTGACAATTTGACTGAGGCCAGGACATGAGCTAAAATACTGAAATTGGAAATTTCAGACTCAACCTCTAACAAAAGGAATTTTTTTTGTTATCGATCAAATCTGTAGTCTTTATTTACAATTGTGGAAAGAAAAACTGACATCCAGACAGTGGCCTTAACAATTTACCTTCAAATTCTAAGATAAAAATTGTGAAATTGATTAATTTTCATGTCCAAAGTTTCCTGGGCCTCAAATAAAATCTTTTCCATTTGATAAATCTAATAACCAAACTTACAGAAATTCATCTACAAGAAATAGACAAATATTGAACAGATCAAAATACTTATAAATCTATTCAACAGTCTAATTTATGTAAATCTTAATCTGTTTACATTTATCATTATTTACATTGGTTCATATTTCATCCCTTGTATGAACTGGATATGTGAATCCCTGATAGAGAACTACCTAGAAAGACATCAGAAAATTTCTAAAGTATGTTGCTGTAAATCTTAGATTGAAAAACAATCCTTTATTTCCAAAGGTAAAAGGGTACAGTACATAAGTCAATTCCACTGTAATGGATGTACATTTTGTACTATTTTCATTACTGCAAATATCTATGTAACATCAATAATGAATGGATTAGTTTCTGTATTTATACATTCATACAATTACTGATGTAAGTGTTAAAAATAACTAGTGGCTATAGGACAAACAAAAATAAACAGTATCATTTAAATGGATGAACATTTTTGTAAAATTCTATGAATTTCTGGTGAAATAAAGAAGATATATATGATGAAACAAAGGTCAATGAAATTAAAACTTTTAGTAATTTGAATATAAATTATTCAAAATACTAAATATTACATAAACACCTAACACAAAAAAATACTCAGTTTGTTCACTAATTAAAATATGTGCACTGAAGAAGAAACTACAAATAAATTATTTCAAAATTCTGGTTTTTCATAAAAAAAATTAATTCATTTCAGAAATATAAGTATTTTTTATCATTATGTGTCATTTGTATACAATAATTAGTAAGTTGGATTTTTTGAAATAGTGTTTACTTTAGCACAGAATTTCCCCATATCATCTTCACAATGTTAAGCCATTACAAACTATGTTCAATGCCTTGGCTTGACTGCAATCGTTTTTTTCCCCCATGGAATCTTCACAATGCCCAGCTATTGTGTAGTGCACCGATATTGGATTGTACCCCAACGAATACAGCCAATTAGAGCCGTAGGCAGAAAGACTGTAAACATAAATGTCCTACAAACTTTCTCCATAAGTATAAGACAATGTTTGTAATAGCTTGACATTGTGTAGATGACCTCATGGTAAATCTAAAGAGTTTCTAAATTTCTCCCTATCTTAACAACTACTGGTACCATAAATATTTGTTCTAAATTGATTTAAATCAGTTTAATTCAAAAGGATACAGGGTATTTTAAGATGTCTGGTAATTTTCATTTTCCATAAAGACTGTTGATACGATACTAATGGTTTGGCTGTTAAAAAGACATTCACAACTATGTCTGACAGAAATATTTTCCTTTCATTCAATAACAAAATTATCTAAATATGAACATTTGTTGACAGCTCTTTTGAATTCATTTTGTTATTACCAATTCATCAACACTCTCTGAATGGGTGCATGTAAATTTCAACCTAAATATGGTATGGCTAAGCAAAGGGCAATGATAAACATATTTCATACCATTTGTTAAATACAACACAGGGAAACCAAAAGTAAAAAAGTAAAGATGCAGGCACACGAACAGTCTT